AACCAACTATAAATGGTGTGCATGTTGAGTAAGGCTAGAACTGTAAATCAAGATATCATAAAAAAACTAAAACAAATTTACGTAAATACGGACGAAGCAAATCATTCATTGCTGCTTGAAATGAGTTAGGAGCATTAGTTAAACCAAATGGCATAACTAAGAATTCATAATGACCATCAAATGTGCGAAAAGCTATTTTATGTGTGTCTTTTGGTGTTACCCGAATCTGGTGATAACCAGATCGCAAGTCGATCTTAGAGAAAATAGTAGCAGACCCCAACTCATCAAAAAGTTCATCAATGGTAGGGATAGGAAATCGGTCTCGAACTGTTACGGCGTTTAAGGCGTGATAGTCAACACAAAATCGCCACGACCCGTCTTTTTTTCTAACCAACAAAACGGGGGAAGAAAAAGGGATATTACTGGGTTTGATAATACCCTCTTGAAGCATATCTTGAATGATAGTTGTCATTGCGTCTTTTTATGAATGTGGGTAGCGATAAGGTTTTACGTTTATGGGGTTTGTGTTAGGGAGAATAGGAATATGGTGATCATGAGGGCGTGATGGTGGTAAGCCGTGAGGTTGGTTAAAAACAGTGGCATGTGAGGTGAGTATTGCCGTTATTTGGCTTGAGAGGTTTTGTGGAAGGATGTCAAGTAGATTGGGTTTATTTATGGGGGTTGAGGACTGGTTGTTAGAAAAAGGTTGGTAAAGTAGGAGGTGTAATGAGGCAATGGAGTCTGTATGTAAAAGCTGGCGAAATTGGCTGAAAGAGAACTATTTAGCTACTGATTTTTGATCTCCCTTGATTGTTATGTCATTATTTTGGTATGTGAAGGAGATCTTGTGAATTGAAAAATCTGCCATAATTGGGCCCAGTGTTCGCAACCATTCCATACCGAGTACCACATCTGCCCCTTCAATAGGTAACAAGTGAAATTGAATGTTGAATAAGTTGTTTTGTAAGATTAATGGAACTTTTGGGTAAAGTCCAGTGCAGGAAAGTTTAGATCTGTTTCCCACATGACAGAAAAATTGGGAATGGGTGCGGTGGGAAGTTTGAGGTGTTGGGCAATTCGGGGTTGTAGGATGTTATGCGTACTTCCTGTATCAATTAGGACAGTCACTGTCCTACCATTCAGTAAACCGGTGAATTTAAGGGTTTAGGGGGAAAAGTGTCCAATTGCTGCTTGAGGTGATAGTTGAAAGTAAGTGTCGTCTGATTCTGTAGTTTCTGGCATTGTCCCCGATTGGACTTCTGAATTTTCCAAAAATTGAATTGTGGTTGTGTCATCATCTTCTTCTAATAGTAACAAAAATTTTCCCGTGCTGCATCGATGACCCAGTATAAATTTTTCGTTGCAATTAAAGCATAGTCCTTGAGCGCGACGCTCCTGCATTTGAGCACTAGATAATTTGCGAATAGGGAATTTGGAAGGTTGGGGGGTAGTTTGGGGTTTTGGGGCTAAAGTGCTCAGGGCTGTTGGCTGGGGATGTGTAGGGGGTTTGTGAAAGGTTTTCTGAAATTTGGGTTTTGAATCCCTGATTTTGGATTCAATCAGCTTTGCAAGTCCAATTGCTTGCAAAGTTGAAGTGGGTTTGTGAATAGAAAATTCATTCTGTATATCTGCTGTCAAACCAGAAATAAAACAATTTAGAAGAGCACCTGGTTGTAAACTCACCACTTGAGTACCAAGTTTCTCAAAAGCTGCTTGATATTCAACAACTGAACCTACTTGTTTCAACTTAAACAACTCAGCTTGGTGATTAGTGTAGGTTGAAGGTCCAGATCGAAGCTCCAATGCTCTTGTAAATGAGGGCCAATCGATTAAAAGATGGATTTGGTACATCCATTTATACCAACAAAGTGCTTCACCCTTCATATAAAATGACATCATTGATAATCTATTTTCAAGTGGTAGTTGGTAAAAATCAAAATATTGGTCAGCTTGAAACAACCACTCAAGGGGGTTAGACCCATCAAACATAGGTAGTTCTAATTTTGGGGTGCGAAATAGGGGCAGTGGTGTTTGAGGATGCAATGGGGGTGGTGGAAGATTCTGAAAAATAGGTACATTATAGTTTTGAGGGATGGGTATGTTGCTGGTTTGGGTGAGAAAAGGTGAAGATGCGAATCTAGGAATGTGTGTTGGGGTAGGTCTGATGGTGGTGGTTGTTATGGGAAATTGTGGGATTGCTGCTGTTGAATGAAAATAGGATGGTTGCTGTTGTGAAATAGGGGAACTATGAGGAGTGGAAATATTTGAAAAAATAGGGCTGAGGTGGGTTGCGGTCATGGGTATGGTGTGGGGAGTGTGAGTAATACCTGAAGAAGATGAAGTTGCTGCTGCGTGAGTAGGAGTAGCTTGCTGTTCCTTTTAAGTAGCAATTTTTGTGAGGAGTCCCATGATGCTGTCATATCTAGAGTCTGAAATTTGCTTATCATTGTCCATTCTTGTGTGGAGGAGTTCTAGATCTGCTGTAGTTTTGTTAAATCTCTCATCCATTTGTTGTTGTGTCTCTTGCATTGCATTATCTAGATGGAGGTGGGCTATGTGGACAATCTCTTCAATGATATCTTTAGGATTAGGTGGTTTAGGAGGAGGAGCCATGAT